TACCGTATGGCCTCTGAATGAGAAAAGTCCTCAACACACAAAGTCACAGAAGTTGAAGGAAGAGAATAAGAGCTTAGATGAGAACTGAAAGATAAGAATTCGGTTTTTGGTTTCACTACTAGAGACGGATCAAGGAGAATACTAGGCAGCGGCACAGGCGGCAACACCGGCGCTGCTATGGTGGAGAGAAAAAGATGGGGAAAAGCAGAGAGTTTCAAAAACAGATCTAGAAAAGAAAAGCAAGTATGGTAATATGATGTCAGAATCATTTTATACTTATGAAAAAAATAATGGTTGAATGGACAAAAAATCATGGTGGAATACTGGAATGGCCGAGAATGGAGAGGGAAAATGGGACTAGTGAATAGTGATTAGACTGATTTTGGAGGGGTAAAGGATCTGCGGATCTGGGGTAGTGGGAAGCTTAAAAATTGAGTTAGGTGTGAGGCGCGCAGCAGAGAAGGGTCAGAAGGCCGTGCAGAAAGGGCGGGCACCATTAGGGTTTGCCGGTTTGGAATGGCTGAGAAGTGAGAATGGAGAGGGAAAAGAAAATGTCAAAATAGGAAATTAGATCTTTAGCCTTAGCTAGGTGATAGGTCTAATAGTGATTAGACTGAACTGATTTTGGAGGGGGAGGAGGGAAAGGATCTGATCTGGAGTGCCGAGTGGAATGGACAATGGAGGGAAGGGAAGCTTTAAAATTGAGTTGAGGGGGGCGGAGGCGCGAAGAGGATGGCAGAAGGGGCGGGCGGCATTAGGGTTTCTGCTACAGCCACTTGCTCCTTTTGTTCTTTTAACTTTTAAGTTTTGCGTTTTTTTGGGTCTTTTGGCTTGGGCCTCCAATTCGGTTTTCAGGAGGCCCATTTTGGTTTTTGGTTTTTGGAAGGCCCAACCGAAATCGAACCGAAGTTCATTCGGGTAATGCAAAACCCGATCTTTGAAACTCGAAAACCGATAGCATCGAACCGAATTCATTTTTTCGGGTTGGTTTTCGGGTAATCATTCGGTTGCCCAACCGAACGCCCAGGCCTAGCTGATGCCAACCATGGAATGGAATTGGAGGGAAGGTTTATTATTCTTATTATTTTTTGAATGCCAAGGTTAGTAACAAATTTTACATTCCTAAATTTAATATAAGAAATGTTTTATAGAAATAAAATAGTTATTGTCAATAATTTAACTAATTTAATAATATTTTTTTATTAAAAATAAAAAATTTTGACTTCGAATTGTATAAAATACGAATGTAGTGAGATAAAAAATAAAAAATGATCGTTTTTTATTGTGTAAGATAAAAAATAAAATAAATTAGTTATTAAGTCACAATAACGTAATCAAATGGACGGTTTAATTGTGCAAGAACTAATGGGAGAATAGAGTTTCTATCATTAAAAACAAAAACAAAAAGAAAAAGAGAGAGAATCGAGAAATGATGTGCTGGATCTGGACACTTCCAATTTACCAAAACGTCCTCACTCTTAAATTTACATTAATGCCACCAACAATTTCATAGGCTTTTTTTATAAATGAAAATTTCATTAAAGCAAATTATGTTTTGCAAAATAAAATTTGATACATAATACAAACAGTTCCGGTCACGAGAATAATAAGAAAGACAAAAAGTGGGAATAAAGTAAAAAGAAATGTATTTTTTATATAAAAACTTTATATAATTAGTAAGTATATCACTATTTCATTTCTTTTATGATATGTTTACTTAATAAGTACATCCTCAAACTTCTAGACTAACAATCTGCGCATGAAACAATTAATGCTTTGTGAATCTTGTTTGTAATAGAAATATCATCTCTAGAATGTTCACAACAAATATAGAAGTAGTTTCTATTTCAAGCCGCCTAATACCCAAATTAGGAGCTAATTTCATATCAGTTTTGATCCCCCAAGTTCAGCATCCTTATTAGTCCCGTAGCCAAGATTTTTTGTAAATCCCATTACCCAGTTACCCTCATGATGCATGGTAACTCCTCCCGCCAGCATTGTTATGAGTGGAGCTAGAAGAGCCATCAGAGTTCATTTTGAACCATCCAACCTGCGGCCGGGTCCATCTAACAGGAAGAAAAGAGTAGGAAATTGATTTTTTAGATGGGGTTTGCAAGAGCAGAGTTCCACTGTAAATCCCATAGCCTTACTGGAAACTTCCTGCAAGTTAGAGCTATTGTGGAAACAAAGATTGTTCCTATTGAGCCATAAACTCCAAATAAAAGAACAAAAGAAGGCTGCCCAAGGGATTCTTGGTTGTACGAGCCAATACTTGGAGGTGCAGTTGATCTTAATCCAATCAAAAAGGTTGAGTTGGAAACTAGCTATTATGAA